AAAAAATCTAGCCCAGACTGGTGACAAGCAGTAACCTCCAGGGCTGATAAACGAAGTCGATGTGCCAAAAACTGCAGTTCCTCCAATGGACACTTGAGGCTGGCTTCAAAAGCAAGTCAATCCCCCACAGAGCCCCAAACTTTCCCCAACTTTTACAGCAGAAGTAAACATGTTTACAGAAACAGTTTTGGTCTCTCTGGCCAGTTTCTCCATTCCTAGCAACTGTATGTGGGTTGAATCTTTATATAACTCACCTGTTTAAATTGTATTAAGGCTTAAAGTAGTGCATAATTGAGGGTTTGGCTGCTTTGTGTGACAGCTGGGTGCCGTCATAGGACATCTCCAGCCTCGGTTTTATCCTCTTTGCTCACTTTAAGATTAGTTAGGAGGAGTCAGACACAGCCAAGATGGCGACAACTACCGAACTTTGAAGAAACCTCTCAGTAACATCATGGAGAGTGAGTTCATCTTGATAGTCAACAGGAAAGAAACAACCTAATGTGTCTTAGTTAGATGTTGGAGCACCACATGTTGGTCAATGCATCCCTCATTTGGTGTGTTGGTGATGGCTGTGGAGAGCGCTGTTTGACAAGTTGGTCCAAAATGTTCCACAGTTGTTCCGCAGTGTTGAGCTCTTCCCTCTCAGAGGACCAGTGGACCCAAAACATGCCAACAAAACTCCCCACGCAGCATTACAGAGCATCCACATCCCCTCAAGCATTCAGGCTTTTGCATCACTTTGTCACTCATCTATGTATAAATACATATATAACAATATATTATCTTATATTTCTCAACCTTCATTTACTTGATAATTGAGTAGTGGGGCTTAAAAGCTTAAAAAACCGACAATTTCCTGCTGTGGGAACACAGGAAGAATATTAAATCTGAGTCTGACAGAAATGTAGCTTTAGCGGATTTGTGAGACCGACCTGGATAATCTAGAAGATGGAAAACAGAAAGAAGCTATTTGCATCACTGTCAGCTAACAAATAAAAGAGCAAGCGTCCGGAGGAGGCTAAGGGGATAAAATAACCGAATGTTTTCGTCAGCCGGTTCAATTGTGTTGCTATTGTCCTTTTCCATGCCTGTTGATTCACCATTACCAGTGACAGCTATTGCTCGTGACGGGAAGGAAGCAACAGTTTGACAAAATGGGGCTTGACAGCTTCGGAAACAGATGCGAAACAGGACAAGCTGTCAACTTATTGACACAATACAGAAAATGAGCACCCTGTGATTAGCAAAGCAGTCGACACAGTTGGCGCGTTGAGACGACACTATGTGGAGACACAATGTTTCCCACTGAGTGACTGAGAGTAAACACAACATATTATTTTTAACTCCTACGTTGATGAAAATAGGACAAACTGATGTGAGAAATAACTGATATTTTATGACAGAACCTACAGTTCATTTCATTGTTGGTATAATGCGCCACCATGTGGTGAACAGCAGTAATACACGGTTTTAATCAATCATATATTTTGTATGTAACTTGTTTTCTTTGTCTGCTTTTATTTCAGAGGTGTTATTACAAGTTTCTTTCAAAGCTCAACAATCAGAGCCAAGCTTTGATGATTTAACTTCTCAGACACCAGAGAATGAGTTCAGTAGATTTTTCATGTGTACAGTTTTAATACTGCAAAACCAAACAATTAAAAAAAAATAGAATCACACATCTCATAGATTATACTGACTAAATTCTGTAAAATTAACGATTAAAAGATGAGTCCTATGGTTTAAATAGAGATGAAACACCATTTGAAAGGATACACTCCCTACATGTTGTGTTTGAGTAACTTTTAAGTGTTGCGTGACTCACAAAAGGCAGGAACCTCCTTGCTGACTGATCTGTGGTTTCAAATCTGTCGAACTCGAGGCCGCAGTGACGTCACGGCAGGTGTTTTGCCAGAGAAGAATGGTTTAAACCAGTGCAGCAACTTCTTTTCTGCCTCAGGCGTTAATCGCTAATAATTAAGTTTCTTTCCCTGTCAGGTGTTTGTTGAAACATACGGTTTAGGGCGTCGAGGTAATCTGGGCAGGTCGAGGCTTGAGAGTTGTTTGTGTCAGATAGTTGACGCAAACAATAATCAGGACCAGCTCAGGTACTTTTGTTAAAGTTAAAACGTCCCGTATGATAAGAAGCACTTCAGTGTGAATTTAAACTACCACAAATATTTCAGTTTTTACTGCTAGATGCACGATGTCAGTATAAAAGATGTTACAAGTAACACCGTGCAGTGTTTGACCTTCTGTCAGTGAGGTTTAAAGTCTGTTCTCGACACCGTAAACAGCAGCTGTCAAAAGAAATCTCACCTCCAAGTCCATTTTGTAGCTTTTCTGGAGCTTTCAATCAAACCAAGGTCAACATTTAGCTCTGAGCCCTGAACTTCTAAACCAACATAGTCAAGAAAGACCTTTGAATCCCTCTCAGGTTGTTGATTAAACCC